TGTTTGTTTGTTTTGCGGTACGCGGGCCTCTCACTGTTGTGGCCTCTCCCGTTGCGGAGCACAGGCTCCGGACGCGCAGGCTGAGCGGCCATGGCTCACGGACCCAGCCGCTCCGTGGCATGTGGGATCTCCCTGGACCGGGGCACGAACCCGTGTCCCCTGCATCAGCAGGCGGACTCTCAACCACTGCGCCACCAGGGAAGCCCTGGTCTGGCCACTTTGGAAAACAGTTTGGCAGTTTCTTATAAAGCTAAACATACACTTAGTGTATGACCCAACAATCCCACTTTTAGTTACTTATCCAAAAGAAAACTTATGTTCACAAAAAAATCTATATGCAAAGGCTTATAGTGGCTTTATTCACAATTGCCCAAAACTGGAAACAACCCAGATGGCCTTCAATGAGAGGCTGGTTAAACAAACTGTGATACATCCATACCATGGAACACTTACTCAGCAATAAAAAGCATGAACTATCATATATACAATGATATGGATGAAAATCAAAGGCATTATGCTGAGTGAAAGAAACTAAACTGAAAGGCAAATCTACAGAGACAGAAAACAGGTCCATGGTCACTAGATGAGAGTGGGGGGAGGGTCTGATTATAGAGGAGAGCATGCAGGAGTTCTGGGGGATGATGGCAGTTACAAAACTGTATGCATTTTTTAAACTTCAGACACTAAAACGTCTGAATTTTTACTGTATATAAATCATATCAAAATAAAGCTGGCAAAAGTAAACTAGCAGAAAGACATTTAAAGGCAGTAAGACTTTCCTCTGCTCTTAATGTCCATGGTAGTTTTTCCCACTTCTATGAATGTATCATCCTTAAGTGAGAAAGACGAAGGATGAAGAGTAGTATACATTCAGTTTTGGTCTAAACCATGTGAAACAAATTATTGCTTTATAGTAAGTCACTAGTCACTGAAGCTTAAAGCCTGGCTTTTTGTTGATACTAAGTAAGGTCAGAAAGTAATAAATTATAACCATTTAATTCTGTATGTGGCTGGGTACAAAAGATCTTTGTGTGTTCATAGGTTTGATTATTATGTATATCATTTCATATGTAGACTGGGCAGCTCACGGAGAACTGCAACAACAATCCTCTGTCACGTGCCAGATCTAGTTCCACAGGTGGTATTTTAGAATTCAGAAAAAAGTGAACTTCACATCAATGACAGACTTATTCATCGACATAAGTAACCCTAACTTAAGATATATCAGGCTACCTTTTTATGACAGTATCTTTTTAAAGTACAGCTTAAAACCTTAAAAAAAATTCACTCCCATTAACTTCAGCCAACAATCCTGAATTAAGTTGTTTCAAGCACCTTAGAACCTTATCTAGAAGTATCTACTTGGTGTACACAAAAATTTCTACAAGCAGGAAATATATTTATAAAATATATTAGTCCATATTTCAAACTCTTTCAAATTTTAACCAACTCAATGATCTCAAAGAAACTACTAGAAAACATCTGGAGTGTAAAAGGAATGAGGATTTTACTGTGTACTGAAAGGTACATGCAATCAATAAAATGGATATATATGCCTTCAATCAATTAAGGATGAGAAAATAAAGCTACTTTAGTTAGCCACATTTAAAAGGCAGCGTTATGCAAGTTAACATTTGATTAAAACCAAACAAGTTTATCTGACACCAAAACATCTCCAAACCTTCACAGTAGTTGCTTTCAAATTTTTTCTTACACAGAGATGCCTCATTCCAAGCAGAAACTAGGCCTCACTACAGGAGAGATCCTAGGGTGAGGGATAGGGGCATACCTTATATTCACCAACCCTGCCTAAACATTATATAATTTCTTACAGACATGATTTTCCTCTCTCCCTCATCCCTACCATCTCTCTCCCCTCTCCTGGGTTGAGAATCACTATACAAAATTCAAATATCCAATAAAATACATTTTCAAATTAAACCAAACAAAAAATTATTCAAGATACTAATAGAATTACTGAACTCGATCACCCAAATCACCCCTTTGCATACTTACAATGTAGTATTGTGGAAGACGGGTAAGTTTAATGAACAGCTTATTCTTAGAAAGGTTTCCAATAGGATGGGTTGAATAATTGGACAGCTGCAATGTTTCACTGCTTATTGTAGGCAAGTGTTTTATAGATTGTTTGCAACGCTGTTGTCCAAGCCAAAACCTTAAAAGAGATAATCCAAATCACAAAATCATGGACTTTTCTGATTAACTGTGTGCTACTGATTTATAAATAGATTAAAGACCACTAAGAAACCAATTAATATGAAATTTAACTGAACTAGTAAAAGGACACATGACCATAATGATGAATCATTCCTCTAGTTTTGTACTGGACTGTTAGTTCTAGTTCTAGTTTAAGGAGTTTAAACTGCACTGTGAATGGTTTTTAATTAATAAGGTAGAATTAACTAGTATTAAGGCTGAGACACTGTATCAGTTTATTATAGGAGATGAAAGATTTCCTATGGTTTATAAGACAGCACAAACTAATCTCAACATCTTTTATAAAATGCCTGAAGTGTTTATAAAACAAAATAGAACAACAAACAATAAGTACAAAAGTATCTCATTTTTCTGGTATCACTGGAGATATTCAGTCCCAGTTTTTATACTGTGCATATAAAGTGACAGGTATGCCTAGCAGGTGCCAGTAAGTGTTGCTTACCTTCTTCCCTGCTCTCTCAGTTAAGCCACCAGATTTCACTTTGATGCTTCTACTACAGTACTCCTCTTATTCCTTTTATCTGACTGTCTATCCTTGAGGCTAGGATACCATATTAATATGTGAAAAAGGGATAAAATGATTGGTACAAAAACTCTCACTGATCCACAATGAGACAACTCAAAAAATAAGAATACAAATAAAGAAGCTTTTCATAGCAACATAACAGTGCAACAACATCCAAGATCATGATCAGTAGGCTTGCCTTGCATAACAGGGCACAGACCAGTTTGGATGTTGTTGCATTTCTGTGGTGAGCCGCATGTGATACAAAATATGTACTAGTCATGTGCAGTAAAACCATGTTTCATAATATAATATTTTAAGGGCACTCTGTCAACTATTACCCCCAAAAATGTATAGAATCTGGAAACTGCTTTTTCACCCTGAAAAACAAATTTAACTACAGCTTCACAGGATCAATTGCTAGAACTATTAATAAAAGAATGAAAATAAATTTTTAAAATACACCAATACTTGCCTCATTCTGGATGACAGTTAAAAACGAATATTCTGAACTTGCAAAAACTGCTTTCAGAACTCTACTTGCACTCTCATCAACATACCTTTGTGAGACTAGTATCTCTACTATGGATGTTATTTTTAAAAAAACATGGATACATATTATCTCCTGTGATTTTCATCATCATCAATCCAACCGAGATTAGATAAATTACAACAAACCAGAAACAAGCTCATTTGCCACATTAAAAATCTAAATCTATTACAAATGTAATATATATAAATTATAAATGTGTGAATAATAAGTACAAGATATTCTTTCAAAGCATATATGGGATTGCTATTTCACTCAACTTTTTTTTTTTTTATTGTTTTGTGGTATGCGGGCCTCTCACTGTTGTGGTCTCTCCCTTTGCGGAGCACAGGCTCTGGATGCGCAGGCTCAGTGGCCATGGCTCACGGGCCCAGTCGCTCCGCGGCATGTGGGATCTTCCCGGACCGGGGCACGAACCCGTGTCCCCTGCATCAGCAGGCGGACTCTCAACCACTGCGCCACCAGGGAAGCCCTCACTGAACTTTTTTGTTATGACTTCGAGGAACAAAAAAAAAATTTCAGTGAGTTAGGGGCGGAAGATGGCGGAAGAGTAAGACTCGGAGATCACCTTCCTCCCCACAGATACATCAGAAATACATCTACACGTGTAACAACTCCTACAGAACACCTACTGAAGGCTGGCAGAAGACCTCAGACCTCCCAAAAGGCAAGAAACTCCCCCACGTACCTGGGTAGGGCAAAAGAAAAAAGAATAAACAGAGACAAAAGAATAGGGACGGCACCTGCACCAGTGGGAGGGAGCTGTGAAGGAGGAAAGGGTTCCACACACTAGGAAGCCCCTTCGCGGGCGGAGACTGCGGGAGCGGGGGTGGGGGTGGGGAGCTTCGGAGCCGCGGAGGAGAGCGCAGCCACAGGCGTGCGGAGGGCAAAGCGGGGAGATTCCCGCACAGAGGATCGGTGCCGACCGGCACTCACCAGCCCGAGAGGCTCGTCGGCTCACCCGCCGGGTCGGGCGGGGCTGGGAGTTGAGGCTCGGGCTTCCGTCAGAGCACAGGGAGAGGGCTGGCGGCGTGAACTCAGCCTGAAGGGGGCTAGTACAGCTAGCCTGGAGGGAGTCCGGGGACAAGTCTGGAGCTGCCGAAGAGGCAAGAGACATTTTCTTCCCTCTTTGTTTCCTGGTGCGCGAGGAGAGGGGATTAAGAGCGCTGCTTAAAGGAGCTCCAGGGATGGGCGCGAGCCGCGGCTAAAAGCGCGGACCCCAGAGACGGGCACGAGACGCTAAGGCCGCTGCTGCCACCACCAAGAAGCCTGTATGAGAGCACAGGTCACTATCCACACCGCCCCTCCCAGAAGCCTGTGCAGCCCGCCACTGCCAGGGTCCTGTGATCCAAGGACAACTTCCCCGGGGAAACACACGGTGCCCTCAGGCTGGTCACGCTGGCCTCTACCTCCGCAGGCTCGCCCCGCGGCCTGAGTGAGCCAGAGCCCCCGAATCAGCTGCTCCTTTAACCCCGTCCTGTCTGAGGGAAGAACAGACGCCCTCAGGTGACCTACACACAGAGGCGGGGCCAAATCCAAAGTTGAACCCCGGGAGCTGTGAGAAGAAAGACAAAGGGAAATCTCTCCCAGCAGCCTCAGGAGCAGCGGATTAAACATCCACAATCAACTTGATGTACCCTGCATCTGTGGAATGCCTGTATAGACAACAAATCACCCCAAATTGAGAAGGTGGACTTTGGAGAGCAAGATTTATTATTTTTTCCCCTTTCCCTGTTTTGCTGAGTGTGTATGTGTATGCTTCTGTGTGAGATTTTGTCTGTATAGCTTGTTTTTTTTGCGGTACGCGGGCCTCTCACTGTTGTGGCCTCTCCCGTTGCGGAGCACAGGCTCCGGACGCGCAGTCTCAGTGGCCGTGGCTCACGGGCCCAGCCGCTCTGCAGCATGTGGGATCTTCGCGGACCAGGGCACGAACCTGTGTCCCCTACATCAGCAGGTGGACTCTCAACCACTGCGCCAGCAGGGAAGCCCTGTCTTAATGTATAGATTTGCTTTCACCATTTGTCCTAAGGTTCTGTGCATCCGTTTTATTTTTTTACTTTTCAAAAAAATTTTTTTCTTAATAATTATTTTTATTTTAATAACTTTATTTAATCTTACTTTATTTTCTTTTATCCTCTTTCTTTCTTTCTACTTTTTCTCCCTTTTATTCTGAGCCGTGTGGATGAAAGGCTCTTGGTGCTGCAGCCAGGAATCAGTGCTGTGCCTCTAAGGTGGGAGACCCAACTTCAGGACACTGATCCACAAGAGACCTCCCAGCTCCCCGTAATATAAAACGACGAAAATCTCCCAGAGAACTCCATCTCAACACCAGCACCCAGCTTCACTCAATGACCAGGAAGCTACAGTGCTAGACACCCTATGCCAAACAACTAGCAAGACAGGAACACAACCCCACCCATTAGCAGAGAGGCTGCCTAAAATCATAAAAAGGTCACAGACACCCCAAAACACACCACCAGACGTGCACCTGCCCACCAGAAAGACAAGATCCAGCCTCATCCACCAAAACACAGGCACTAGCCCCCTCCCATCAGGAAGCCTACACAACCCACTGAACCAACTTTAGCCACTGGGGACAGACACCAAAAACAACGGGAACTACGAACGTGCAGCCTGCACAAAGGAGACCCCAAACACAGTAAGATAAGCAAAATGAGAAGACAGAAAAACACACAGCAGATGAAGGAGCAAGATAAAAACCCACCAGACCTAACAAATGAAGAGGAAATAGGCAGTCTACCTGAAAAAGAATTCAGAATAATGATAGTAAAGATGATCCAAAATCTTGGAAATAGAATAGAGAAAATGCAAGAAACATTTAACAAGGACCTAGAAGAACTAAAGATGAAACAAGAAATAGAATGGACAAAATGCAAGAAGCAGTTAACAAGGACCTAGAAGAAATAAAGATGAAACAGACAATGATGAACAACACAATAAATGAAATGAAAAATACTCTAGATGGGATCAATAGCAGAATAAATGAGGCAGAAGAACGGATAAGTGACCTGGAAGATAAAATAGTGGAAATAACTACTGCAGAGCAGAATAAAGAAAAAAGAATGAAAAGAACTGAGGACAGTCTCAGAGACCTCTGGGACAACATTAAACGCACCAACATTCGAATTATAGGGGTTCCAGAAGAAGAAGAGAAAAAGAAAGGGACTGAGAAAATATTTGAAGAGATTATAGTTGAAAACTTCCCTAATATGGGAAAGGAAATCGTTAATCAAGTCCAGGAAGCACAGAGAGTCCCATACAGGATAAATTCAAGGAGAAATACGCCAAGACACATATTAATCAAACTGTCAAAAACTAAATACAAAGAAAGCATATTAAAAGCAGCAAGGGAAAAACAACAAATAACACACAAGGGAATCCCCATAAGGTTAACAGCTGATCTCTCAGCAGAAACTCTACAAGCCAGAAGGGAGTGGCAGGACATACTGAAAGTGATGAAGGAGAAAAACCTGCAACCAAGATTACTCTACCCAGCAAGGATCTCATTCAGATTTGATGGAGAAATTAAAACCTTTACAGACAAGCAAAAGCTGAGAGAGTTCAGCACCACCAAACCAGCTTTACAACAAATGCTAAAGGAACTTCTCTAGACAAAAACACAAGAGAAGGAAAAGTCCTATAATAACGAACCCAAAACAATTTAGAAAATGGGAATAGGAACATACATATCGATAATTACCTTAAATGTAAATGGATTAAATGCTCCCACCAAAAGACACAGACTGGCTGAATGGATACAAAAACAAGACCCATATATATGCTGTCTACAAATGTGTACACTTCAGACCTAGAGACACAAACAGACTGAAAGTGAGGGGATGGAAAAAGATATTCCATGCAA